CTATACTCCTGCTGATAGTGACAGCGCGTGCACACGCATACACACACACACACACTCACACACAATATATATATTTCTAATCATTTCTTATAATGAAATTAACAGAATATTAAATTTATCACTTATATAGTAGTTACAGCAATGGATTAACATTTTCTTATTGAGAGACTTAATTCAGTTTTTCCAACTTAATAACAGTAGAACATACCTGTCTCATGCATTAACTATTTTTGCAAACTATTTCATGAACTGCTCATCCCTTACCTGGTCTACTACAGTAATTTAACTTTCTATTTTCTTCCAGTAACATTCACTCAATTTTCCACATGATTAAGAGAGTTACTTTTCTAAGAAGTAAATCTGATGATGTCTCTGACTTTTTCAAATACCTTTCCATGGTCCAAATCATTTCCAGAATTAAGTCCAAATTCCTTAGGATGGCCTTCAAGGCACTTCTCATTTGATTCTTGACAACTGTCACTTTTCTTCAAGCTGTATTCCAAGGATTCTGAGCATTTTGCAATTTACTAAAGAGAGAGATGTTCCTAATCTGTCTCCTTATACTTGAAATATCCTTCTCTTCTTTTCCTCCAGGTGAGCTCCTATTTCTTCCTAGATATGACCTAATCACAGATTTCTCTGTAAAACCTTTTTTGGCAAGCTCCAGTTCACACCATAACCCACTCCAGGCAATATCTCAGTTAATCTTTCCTTGTGATTATATTGTAATCTTAAGAAAAAATAATTTACTGAGGTGAAATTCCACTTACCATAAAATTAACCATTTTAAAGTGAATTAACTCAGTGACATTTAATACATTCACAATGTTGTGAACACACTACCTGCATGGAGTTCCAAATGGTTATAACTTTTAATTTACCATAATATGTCCCCAAACCTGCATCTTTGCAATCACAATACTGCACACATAATACATGTTCAATAAATACAGATGGAATCACATAGCAACAATAGAAAAGCATTTTATGGATTATTTTCAATCCCCTCTTATTATCTAGTTTTAGGGGGGAACATGGGGTTAAGCCATGGTTAATACAAAAAGAAAAGATAAAGGGACAGTTGCATCTCCTCTCACACTTATATTAAGAAAATGGATCTTCAGGAATCAAATTTATAATTTGGCTTGTTCAAAATTTATTTAAAAAATACTTATTGAGAATTTACTTATGTGTCAAGAACTGTCCTAAGCACTGAGGGATACAACAATGAACAAAACAGAAAAAAATCCTTGCCCTAACCAGGACCAGTTTGGCTCAGTGGATAGAGCGTTGGCCTGCGGACTGAAAGGTCCCGGGTTCGATTCCGGGCAGGGGCATGTACCTGGTTGCGGGCACATCCCCAGTGGGGGGTGTGCAAGAGGCAGCTGATAGATGATTCTCTCTCATCGATGTTTCTAACTCTCTATCCCTCTCTCTTCCTCTCTGTGAATAAATCAATTAAATATATATATATTTTTTAAAAATCCTTGCCCTAAAGTCTACATTCCAGTAGTGGTTAAGAAAGAAAATAAACATAACAAATAAATTCTATAGCATTTTACAAAGTGGCAAATGCTATGGGACCAAAAAAAAAAAGGTTTTTTTTTTTGTTTTGGTTTTTTTTTTTTTAATAGAGCCACATAATTAGATCAGATGTTCTGGATGGAGATACAGGAGGAATTGCTATTTATTTATTTATTTATTTATTTATTTATTTATTTATTTGATTGACTTGGCAAGAGAATAGTGTGCAAGGGAGCAATGGCAATGATTCACCATAATATTCAGGCCGGGTGAAAGGGGAAGAAAGGATATCAGAGGTGTGAGGGGCAGACAAGGTGTAAAGGGGTTGGGGAGAGGTCAGACAGGAAGCAGCCATGGTAGGAGAAGGACAACTACTATAGGCAGCATGGTCTGAGGGTGGTGGGAGAAAAACAGCCAACACTTGACAGGACCTCACAGAAGACAGTATCCTCAGGGAAGATATAGGCTCTCATGAGACCAAAAATTAAGGAACTCCTTCAGGAAGAGATGGAAGAACGGCTGAGTTTGCTGCTGATGGACCATAAGCTGCAGAGGGCAGAGTGAAGGGGTTTCAAGAGGTCGGGAAGAATGAGTGAACGGCAGAGACAGAAAAGGAGTTGTACAGAGCCAAAGGTAGAGAGTGAGAGATGATGAGTTCCCTGGTTACTTAAGATGACTGGCATGAAAATGCATAAAGTACCTAAGATAGTGTTTTTAGAAAATTATTCATCATGGACAGCTATTTTATGAGACAAAAGGGGACCCAGGCCTGGATTATTCAAATGATCAATAATATCTAACCAGTGGATTACTAGGTGTACCGGTTAATAATGTGGATTCTGTAATCAAAGAAAACATGAGTATTTCAAGAGAAACATCAAAAGTGCTTTATTCAAAATAATGTCCATTGCTAGCTTCACATTTCCCCATCTTTTAGGTAATTTGTGGATACCGTCCAAATAGAACTTTTATTGTTTTGAGGCAAACCATTCAAAGACCCAATTTTCTTCTTCTTCATACGTTTTAAAGTGCTGCTCAGAAAGTGCATGTGCCATCGATCGAAACAAGTGGTAATCTGAAGGAGCAAGATCTGGTGAATACAGCAGATGAACTAATACTTCCCAGGCAAGATCTTTTAACGTGTCTTTAACTGGTTTTGAACTGTGTGATGGTGCATCATCATGAAGCAAAATTACTTTGCGTGTCTTCTGGCACATTCTGGTCGTTTCATGATCAATCGTGATTCAAATCGATTATTTGTTGTCAGTAGCTATCAGTATTAACAGTTTCACCTGGTTTTAGAAGTTCATAATACATCACACCTTCCTGATCCCACCAAATGCAGAGCATTGTCTTCTATCCAAAGTAATTCGGTCTTGTAGTCAATGTTGATAGTTGACCTGGATCAACCCATGATTTGAGATTGCAAAATAAATCCACTTTTCATCGCCAGTCATGATTCAATAAAAAAAAAACTTTCTTTCATACCATTGAAGCAACATTTTACTGATAACTTTTTGACTTTCCATTTGTCTTTTGTTCAGTTCATATGGCACCCATTTTCCTTCCTGTAAAATTATTTCCCATTGCTTGTAAATGATTAGAAATTGTTTGCTGAGCAACGTTTAATCTTTCTGCAAGTTGTTTTTTAGTTTGACACACATCTTCATCCAATAATACTTATAATTGTTGGTCTTGAAACTTTTTCAATTCACCTGGACATTCTTTGTCTTTCACATAAAAATCATCACTTTTTAGGTGTTTAAACCAGCATTCACAAGTATCTTGGGATGGAGCATGTTCACCATAAGCTTCCTGAAGTATTCCGCAGCACTTTTCTTCAAAATAATGAATTATAACTTCCCCCAAATGCTCTTTTTTTGGCACAAAATTCGACATTTTTAAGTGTAAAAATATCTATGATGTTAACACCTTCAGCAAATTTGACATTTGAAGTTTTGAAGCTTGTTGTCAATACAACAAAATAACATGTCAAATTGCATATATATCAACATATGTGTAACTCCATCTATTGAAAAAAATTCACCTTATTAACCGGTACACCTAGTATATTTTGGTTCTACAATAGATAAGGCAGTTTATACTATCTATCCTTAGGCTATTACATTTCTTACAGTACTAAGCTGACTAAAATGTAAGGAAGGGCATAAAGATGACAAATGATCTGTTCATAACTGTGATTTTTAAAAAACTGAAGACAGAGTAGGTTGGTTAAAATGTGCATTTTGAATGATCTGTTTATTCAAATTGGTAACTAAAAATCTCTACTAATATCACTCTACCAATTTTTATTATTTATCTACTTAATATAAACAGTCCACATATACTAGACTGTTGAGAAAAGGACCCTTTAAAATTTTAATAAAATTAAATCTGATAATATTAAAGTATTATTTTACTTACTATATTGATACTCTACTTATAGGGGTGTGTGTGTGTGTGTGTGTGTGTGTGTGTGTGTGTATGTGTCTTTCATTGAATCAGATCTTTTTCAATGAATCAGATCTTTTCTCTTTCATTGAATCAGATCTTTCATTGAATCAGATCTTTCATTGAATCAGATCTTTTCTTCTCCTTCCCTTCCATTATCCCTTTGTCAAGATCATGTTCATTATTTTTTTTATGTTGTGGGGGTTGGAAATAGGATGGCTTACTGGTCCTACTAAATCAGAATGGCATCATGTGATAAATCACCAATAATGAAATGAATTATTTGGATGTGGAATTTTTTGATAAATAAAGTAGTCATAATATATGGTAAGTTCAAGGGGTTCTGTTGTTATTGTTTTTTACTTTACTTTTTGTTTAGAAGGACAGAAAGTTCACCTAGAACAGCATTAATTACATTCTGTCTGCCTCTCTAGATTTACTCTCTGTCCTCTCCCTTGCAGTGTGTTTCAGGAAGCAAACCTCTACAGAACACAACAAGAGTAATCTTTTCCTCTGACTTCAAGTTAGGTTTGGCCAGTAGGTAACAATGACAAGAAGTCGGAAGTCAGGCCCTAACTGATTTGGCTCAGTGGATAGAGTGTCGGCCTGTGGACTCAAGGGTTGATTTCGGTCAAGAGCATATACCTTGGTTGTGGGCACTTACCCAATAGGGAGTGTGCAGGAGGCAGCTGACCAATGTTTCTCTCTCATTGATGTTTCTAATTCTCTATCCCTCTCCCTTCCTCTCTGTAAAAAAAATCAATAAAATATATATTTTTTTAAAAAGTCAGAAGTCTGGACAAGAGTGTTGATTTTTCCCTTGCGTCCTCCTTGCTGGCCATTTTTGTACTGACAGAGGCTGTGTTCTTTTGTGTAGAGCTACAGCAACTGCCATGCAGCTCTCTTATGCAGCTATAGTTTATCATTCATACAGCCTTGTTTTCATAAATGCAAATAAAAACTATATTAAGTCAGGAATTTGTTCAGAAAAGGGAAGTAGCTTTTCTCAATAATATCCTTCTCACCTCCTTCTCCTTGTTGAGCAACACCAACTGGCTGTCTGTGAGGATGCAATACTTCCGCTCCCATGTTGTCGTATCAGTGTAGGGTGACTGGCCACAAGACAGACGATGCGTAGGTGGTCCTTTCACATCTGGGTAACAAATATGAAAAACAAAAGTGACAAGTCATTACCTTACTTAGCAAACTAATATTTCAAATGTAACATTCTTCAATATCAAATTACACATGAGTGTAAACATGAATCTCAATGGTAAACTAAAATCTTAACTTTCTCTTAAGAAAATAAAAACTGTTTAAAAAAAGAAAATAAAAACTGTTAACAAAAAGAAGTATGCTGAAACACTCTATAATCATAAGCACAAACCAGTGATTACTACTGTATATGCCCTAAAATAATGAAAGGTCACTTCAGAGCTAAACAAGTATCATCCTATCTAATAAAAGAGTACTATGCAAATTGACCATCACTCCAACACACAAGATGGCAGACTCCATGTGGTCAAAGATGGCTGCCCCCAAATGGACACAAGATGGCCACCACAAGATAGCTGGCAGGGTAGGGCAGTTGTGGGCAATCGGGCCAGCAGGGAAGGGCAGTTGGGGGCAATCAGGCCTGAAGGGAAGGGCAGTTGGGGGGACCAGGCCAGCAAGGGAGAGCAGTTGAGAGGGACAAGGCCTACAGGGGAGGGCAGTTAGGAGCAATTGGGCTGGCAGGGGAGCAGTTAGGCATCAATCAGGCTGGCAGGGAAGTGGTTAGGGGGTGATCAGGCTGGCAGGCAGAAGCAGTTAGGGGCAAGCAGCAGGCTGGTGAGCAGTTGGGAGCCAGCCGTCCTGGATTGTGAGGGGGATGTCCCAGATTGGAGAGGGTGCAGGCTGGGCTGAGAGACACACAACCTTCCATGCACAAATTTCATGCACCAGGCCGTTAGTTCAAAATAAAGAGTGAAGGGGACTCAGACAAGAATAAAAGATAGAGGGCCTGGTCATTAAGAGGACGATGCTGCCGCTTTCACACTTTGAGAGTACTGTTGACCTAGAACTGAGAAAGTGAAGTTATTGGCAGCTTAGACCTTTAAAAAGGCTTTCTTTCTAGTTACTCATAAGAATTAGAACTGTTTAAACTACAGTATATTACCACTAGAGGCCAGTAATACCTTAAAATCATAGGAAGCAATTTCCTCAAGGAAAGATCTAAACATATTACCATCATGTCTCTGAGATGAAGGTATACAATGTCAAAGCTAAATGTCTCCACTCTTCTAAATGTCTCATTTCCCTATAAAATACCAAGTGGTTACCATTACTTTGTCACTTTAAAATTTTTTCATATAAACTATTCACTCATTTGGGCTGCTGTAAACCTTATAATATATCTTAATCATAAAAATACATTAGATCCATTAAATAAGACTTTATGGCAGTTCAATATATACTAAAAGATCTTTAGCTATGAAGTACTATCACCTTTCAGGATATACTTGCAGGAATCATTTAAAATACATTACTTATTACTTTTTAATTATGTCCAAAGGATCACCTCAGGATGAAGAAGTTCAAAAACAAAAACCCCTGAGAGCAGGAGAGTTGTGAATAATAAGAAAGAGCATTTTATCTATTAGATGCATGTTTTCATTACTATTACTTTCTACAGACTTCCAGTCTTTTTATCACAGAATTATATTACTGGTATTGACTGACTGAAAGAAAGTTAAAATGATATCCTATACCATAATTACTCAAATTTGCATATCTATACCCTGAGTTCTATAGAAAGTAAACATGTCAGAAATTACAGTAGGTTAGATATATGTTTATCTTCTTAAGGCCCCTTATTGTGTCCATTATTATCTTCAGTGCTCCTTTGGACTTAATTACCTATTCTCTCTAAAATGTGTTGCTCTACATGTTTTGGGGAACTTATCAATTACCCTCTAAAATAATCTCAAAATGTTACTAGGACTTAGTTGGACAAGTTCATCAATGGTTTCCCCCTATTTTCCTGCTTCTCCTAATCTCCTCTGCACTGTGCATAGCAGGATTCACTCTATCTACAGCTTCAGTATACCACACCAACTCCACCCTTAATTCTCTTGTTTTCCAAGCATCTTAAATTACCTTAAAGTTTTCTTTATACTTTAAAATTTCCTAAAATTATCACAGAAAGCTTCAAAGGAACTGACTCATAATCCTTTTTGACACAATAGGATTAAAAGTCATATCAAAGATGATTTTGTTGCCTGGTTGGAGTGGCTCAGTTGTTGAATATCCTGGTCAGGGCTCAAACCTCAATAGGGAGTATGCAGGAGGCAGCCAATCAATGATTCTCTCTCAATTATGTTTCTCTCTCTCTCTCTCTCTCTCTCTCTCTCTCTCTTCTCTCTCTCTCTCTTCCTTTCTCTGAAATCAACAAAAACTTATTAATAAAAATCTGACTTTCTTAATGTGACTTGGATAAACAATTGGATTAGATTTTTACCACAACATAGGCCTATTTTTAGAGAAAATACCAAGATTACCTCAACAGAGATGATGCACCTACTTTATGTGGAAATGTGGTGGTTTTGTGGCCTAGACAAGTTTTCATTCAAATGACTAAACTTCTTATGTAAGTTAGCCATGGGTGACCTAACTGCCCACTGTAATTTAATTTGAACAGTAGTCTTATGATCTCTAGTAAGCAAGAAAATATTGACAGTGCCTGTCCATAAAAATTAGAATATAGAATAGTATATTTATAGCATAACTTGGGTTTCCTGACAAAATATAAATTAGTATCAGCACTGATTGTTCCTGTGTCATCCGGAGAAATTCTCTTAAAGACTCACTGGAAATTCCATTAGGCATATCTATAAATATCCACAAATTAGCTTTTCTCTTAGAAGGTTAGCATCTTGTCTCTTCCAGACTTAGCATCTCAAAAGACTTACAATAGGAGAGTAAAAAAGGGATCCAATTAGAAGCAGAAATAGGCATAGAGTGGAAAAGACTAAGTCTATGACCCAAATATGCAGAGTGTCAAAGAAAAAAAATTGCTGTGGGAAATTTCATTTTTGTGTCTTTCGGCTCCTTAGAAATTCATCCGTGTTGCTTTTGAATCACATTATTTATAAACACATTTTAAAAAAAATCCCAACATAAATTAAAAGCAATTGTTAACATTCCAAATGTATTTACCACCATTCAAAACAAGGTTTACAGGATTCTACAGAGAAATTCATTCCTCCAGCTAAAACACAAATTCTAATGTTTCATTCAGTCTCAACAGCCTTTCATTGATTCTCAGTACCACCTTAAAAAACAACAACAACAACAAGAAAGACACAGTTTTGGGAAATCTATCTGTATCAGGGATATTTTAATACTTTAAAATAGAAGCACATTTCTACCAAGTAGTTGTAAATTGCTTGGGTCTGAACTGTTGTAGAAAGGTGTGTGGTTATTTCAATGCCAGAACTAACCTGGTTTAGAAATGGCAAGTTCTTCCCAACATTCAAATTTCAATAATCAGATTTGTTTTGATTCTGAATTTTATTAGGACCCTATATATAAAAGGCTAATATGCAAAGTGTCCCCTCGGAAGTTCGATCAGGAGAAGAGAGTTTGATCACTCGCTATGATGTGCGCTGACCACCAGGGAGCGGTGCAGAACAGGGCAGGCGACTGGCAGTGTGGGGGGAGAGGGGTGCTGAGGGAGCAAGGGAAGGAAGAAGCAGGGAGTCGGGGAACCTGATGGGCCCTGACCACTGGCCAGGCCTAAAGACCCTTCTCATGCCTGAATTTCATGCACTGAACCTCTAGTTTATTTATAAAATTTCAGAATTAAAATCACTAATATCTTATAGAAGTAAAAATACACGTAAACAACTTTAAAACATAGCTATAGTAATTTACCTAGTTAAGGACACATCAATTTCCCTAAGTACACAAAGGACTGTTTTCTCTTAATATTTTATAAATGTGATAATGCTGCCTGTCCTAGGCCTAGGCCAGATGCTATTAATTACTTCCCATCAATATAATATATTTTAAGCCATTCTATTTCATTCTTAAAGTATAGAAAGAAAAAACAAACCCATCAGGATACTAAAATGAACTTTAATCTTATTTATTTTGTGTCTCATTACCTCCCCACTCCATATTCTGTTAAAATGTCAGAAAATACCTTGCTTCCAGAATAGAAAACAAAAATTTTCTTAAACTGATAACCATTCAACCACTAAAATCATTGCCTGTGAAGTCCGTTTATTCCTAACATACAATGAACTTCAGGGCTGGCAAGTTACATTGGCTCCAGTAGATTTAAATATGGTCACATTAACCCTGGTGAATAATAAGGGTACTGAGTAATAAATGAATCTATGTTTTATAAAATAGTAGTTCAGAAATGAGTGCCTTTATGAAAAAGTAAATTTTAATCCTTATCACAATTTCGCTATGAAACCACAACTATTTGTTAAAAATTTATATTATGTGTCTTAACCTTAGGTAACCATTTCAGTTTTTCTTCAATTACAGGCTTGATTTCTAAGCTACTGAAACACTGGTGTCAAGTCAGTAAATACCCTATCCCTACCATCACCCTTTCTTTCTAAGAGTAAAAGAGGGCAGGTGGGAGGTAACAGGTGACACTTCTTTCTGGTGAGTAATTTTCCTCAGTCTCAAGTTTGCAAAAGAGTCCCTCCACTGCCTCCTCTCATTTACATATTAATCTTTAAAAGGACACAAAGGTCTCTATGCAAATTTTTCTTAAACAGTCAAGTATGTTGCAAATTTAAGAAAAGTTTAAGGAAATACTAGTCTGGCCCTTAAAACATAACCTTTGTATGGCATAAATGATCTATACTCAAGATCCTTTTCATGTCTCATGTTCCTGTTACTGGAAGAAAAATGAACTAGACTAAGAATTCATCTCAAACATCATTTAATACTCATTCTTTTTGTTATATATATTTAGTACCTCTTCCTATATTAATATGCCCCCATGCTTGTCTCTTTTTGAACTGAATATCATCGCTTTCCTTTAGAAACAGCTGCTGTGGGGAAAGAATTAGAGCTTTTAAGGGAATGTGATTCTTAATGGAAAAGGAGGAAATGCATATAAATAGTTTAGTACTTTTGAGAGGCCAAAAG